CTTTCGGTCACTACCCACAGCTCGTGGCCATAGGTGAGGGTAGGGACGTAGATCGACCGGTAAACTGAGAGCTTCGCTTTCACACTCAGCTCCCTCTTCACCACGGACCGGTGCAGCGTCTGCATCACTGCAGCCCCAATCCGTCTGTCGATCTCCGGCTCCCTTCTGGTAAATTTCATTTAATTCAATTGTTTTTTTTTTTCTAAAGCACCAACCTAAACAACAGTCATCCCAAAGCACTTTACCTGGTGATGTAAACCTTACAATAACACAGAGAAACCCCAACAGTTAAATGGACCCCTATAAGCACTTGGAATAAACCTCTGGCAGAAGCAGGATGTGAGGACATGTCGGCCTCTCCTGAATCAAACTTTGTAGAGCTGCACGACACTTTTTACTGCCAAAGTGCAAATAACATAAAAACTAAAGGTGCTTTTCTTCAGTTGCTCGTCTAAAAGTATAATCTCACTGTAAAAACAAGGGCATTTATTATTATTATTCACACGTGCAGACACCTTTGTACTTCTGCTGCTTCCTTATTCACAAAGCCTCGCCACAGCAGGCACCGTCGCATGTTTGATGTTTGGCAGATTCATATTCTGGGTTCCCTTCAAGACCCCCCACCCCCCCGACGAGGGGTTTGCGTCTCCTCCTGGGATCAAACCCGGGGGCTTTTGCTTGCTATACATACATAAACCACGTACTACTGAGCCACTACAGCCACCTAGCTTATATTATTATGTTTAACGACGCAGGCATAATTTAGCATGACACTAAAGTTAATTAGCTGACAGTCTCGTTAAAAGAACGTCAGCGGTGGGCTATAAACAAAAACATGTTTCTGCAAGAAGAACGTATCTGTTGAGTCTCGGCACACTTCAAACTAACGCTGGGATGCACGGTGTGATTGCCGTTTACACGCGCACTGACTCATGCAGACGGCAGCTTCACTTCCCTTCTTCTTCACACTCCCACACATAATGAACTCTAAATAGAAGCAGTTCAGTTTTTATTGTTTTAAAAAAATATACTGTCACAATCACAGGAAAGAAGTTGCAGGTGCAACCAAAACTTCAACAGAGAAAACTTCACAAGAAGAAAATAACTGTACCCCCTCCTTAAAGTTTACCTCTGAGAATAGACACAACAGGGCATAATTACTGTCACTGCTGTAACAAGCACATCTCCTCACTCGGCAGCCGTAATCGCGACCTTTTGTCTTTTTTGTTCGCTTTATTTTACCTCGTGCTGCAAATGTAAATGTCACCCGTGCTGTGATCCGTAAGCCTTCCTTCTCCACAGAGCGGCACAGTGTCTGATTGTACAGCTGAACCTTTAAAGTGTCAGCACGTCTCAGACGGGATACAACAATATCTTTGTCATCTCTGGCTGCTTAGGGATTCAGAAAATTGCACCCTCTGCTTCAGCTGCATACTGAAACTCCTACTGATGAAAGCATGCGAGCATGAATGAGGCTGCTCTCCTACTGCACTGGATATGCAGCGTAGGAGTTTGACGGGAAGAATTACAGTTACGCACGCAGTATTCTGTAAATGCTAAAGCGATGCAC